TATTTATGGTATAAGTTCAATTGCATTAAGGTACAATTCTCCCAAAATCATCTCGATCATTTTTGTGTGAGTCTTTACATCATGGTTCACCCCATAATAGGCCGGTTCACCCACAGTAACCACATAGGGTGCCAATTTGGTTGTAAGGTCCAGGGAGAGTATTTGATAGCAATTGTCATACTTCGATACACCCATGTCCTCTTCGTCCCGTGTTAAACATTGTTGAGTTTCAAAATTAGTCACACTGTCCTGGAACACTTTCTGAATTTGCTTGACCAACTTATTACGCTCGGTATCATCCATGTTATACCCAGAATAGGACACGCGTGCCATTGGGTTACTTGCTGCTTTTATCTTTGACAATATGTGTTTGCCCTGGATTAAATACAAATAATTTAGTTGTTTTTAAAAACTAATTTAATAATACTTACAATGGGGCTAAGGTCCTTGTTAACTGCCGGTGCTGACCAAACCATATGAATGGCAATACAAACAATAATAACTCCAGTCAAAATGTATTAATAGTCTAATGGTGACCAGGTACATTTGTAATATGTTTATTGAATACAATATTATATTCAAGTTAATTATTGTTTCTGAAAACTTTATTATATAGGAAATTTGTTTAAATTTTTGTACGTAATCAAGGTATATTAAGAAATTATGGTGTAATGGCTAATTTCATTAGAAAAACTATTGTTTGAAATTGAATTCTTACTAATCTCTTATAGTATCTGATTATAGTATCTGACAAATAGGCTATTTTCTCAACATCACCCTGTCCAAATTATGTTGCAATAATCAGTAAATGATTAAACCTAAAAAACAAGTGATTATCACGGTTGCAACATGGCAAAATCCTTGAACTTTTGTAGTACATGTAAATTATAAGTTATAAATGAACTAGTCAACTCTATAGGGATACCTGTCTTAAACCAATAAAGGGACAGTTGTACTTAGAGTTGCTTTTGTTATATTATTTTGCACAGATTTTGCAATATAATTGGTAATCCAAGTACATTGGTAACACGGATATAATATCTATAATTAAGATTATATATAATTTATATTAACAATAATAGTAAATTAAATTTGTTAGTTATGTTCTTGGATTGATAATTTTATTGTCAAATTATTAGGCAAGGTAAAATACCTATTTTACTGTTATTTTATAATAATTAGCTCATGAGACCTCTGATTAAAATATGGTAAAATAAATATTAAGTTTCCTTGCATAGTTAAATGACCTTACTTATAATATCAAAATTTACTGACAAATGGGGCGGTTTTATAACATTCATTGTTGTCATTCATAAGGTTTTTTATATCAAAACAAATGTATAGATTTTAGTAATTAGAACAGACTTTAAAATCTAATTAATTAAATAATTTATCAATTATAAGTGTACAAAGTATATTTATAATTTCAATTAGTATTATCGTAATAAAATGCTAATGATATTTATATAATATAACTGATGCACTTGATACTTACAATAATAACACATTAAATTATCAAGGTCAAGGTATTAGAAGTTGAAAATTATACAGTTTTTTCAAATTGCAACAATAATTATATTTATTCTTAATTAAATTATTTAAAAATTATATATAATGCACTAATGTGTCTTATGTAATTATAATTAATGCACAATACTAATTTATAAAATACTATCTGCCTTGAGCATTGACAAGTGAGTTCACTTACAGTGGAAATATATATTACCTTCAAGTGGTGTAAGGCTCTCTCTCTCTCTCTCTCTCTCTCTTACTTTCTCTCTCTGGGAGACTTAATATATGACCGTATTGTACTTAATGATATACCTTACCTGTAATGATCTCAAAATTATATTGCTGCAAATTGGAGAAAACTGTATAATTATCAATTTCTAATCAAAATATTGACCTTTTTATATACTCAATAATTTAATGTTTTATCTTTATAAATATCAGTTGGAGATATATATATATATATATACAGTATATATATATTATGAGTCATATTTTTAAAAAATCACCTGTGTTATTCCGTGCAATTCACAAGATATATTGTAGCTGCAAAGCTTGTGTGATATATCGTGAGTGATAAGATGTTTAGTAAAATTCATATAAATATGTCAATTCTTTTATAAGTAATTATTTATTTGAAATTCTTATTTATAATAGCTATCAACACCTATCAATACTTTGTTTTAAAAGTTCATGATTTTATAAAAAAAATTTATCATTAATAGCAATGAAAGTTTTAACACTTGTATTTTTATCGTATATAACTGTAAATGCCTTACCGTTTGGCGATCACTTGGTACCGGGTGTTGACAACAGTAACAAATGGGTGGTATTATGCGCCGGTAGTGGTGGCTGGGAAAACTATGGTGACCAGGTAAATAAATATAATATTATTTATATAATTTAATTACAAATATAAAACTTAAATAGGCTGTAGTATACCGGGCTTACCATTTATTGCGATCGTATGGCATACCTGATGATCATATCATAGTTTTTCATTACGACGACATCGCCAATGACACCGAAAACCCGACACCCGGTATAGTAATCAATGAGATCGGAGGTCCCGATGTCTATAAGGGTGTACCAAAAGACTACACCGGAGATGATAACAACCCTGATGTAAAAATATAAATTTAAATTTATTTTAATTAGCTAGACTAGAATTTTTGTTATACTTATTTTCGCAGAATTTTTTAAAAGTAATCCAAGGCGACCTTGAACTTGCTTACCAGGGCAAAAAGGTGGTCAATAGTGGTGTTGATGATCATATATTCATATTGTTCGCGGACCATGGAGCATCCCGTTTGTTACTCACATAATTTTGTCTATCTGTTATGGGAATTTAAAGCCAGTATTATGGTACTTTTTGTAAGATTTATTCTATATATCATACATTAACAAAATTTTTGATCTACAGCAATTAATAATGTTATAGGTATTATTAACTTGGCTCTGTAGCCAATGAATATTAATCTATGGTATATATAAATATAAATCTATATTAAAAATCATACAAAACGTAAACTCTTTTGATTCTCAATGTGGCCAAAACTAGCCTATACATTATATGTTATAATGGATATAGGCTACTTTTTGGCCACTTTGAGAATCAAATGAGCTTACCAAATTTTCAGTAGCCCAGAATACTGGCTTTGAATTCCCATAACAGCTAATATTAATTGTATTTATCCTATTATGTAATTATAATTAATAATGAAAACATAGATTATGTCCAGTTTTCAACGGGTTTACTACACGCCGATGACTTAAACAATGCGTTCATATCGATGCATAAAAATAATAGTTTCGCCAAACTTGTGGTTTATATTGACGCGTGTGAGTCGGGGTCAATGTTCCGGAAAATTTTGCCTGATAACATTAATGTCTACGCTATATCATCATCCAAACACAACGAGCTCAGTTGGTACTGGAATTACAGCGAAAAATATAAAACATTTTTAAGTGTGTAGAAATATAATTAATTAATATCTTACAATTATTATTACAATTTTTCGTTTTTAACAGGCTCATTTTTTGCAAACAATTGGCTGGTTAATGATGAACAGAATGACCTGGATAAGGAAGCTATTCAGCAGCAATACGAATACTTTAAGGAACATACGCTTGTAAATTATACTTGGTTAAATACGACACACGTATTACACGCTCAGCAATACGGTGACTTATCAATCAGTAATCTGACCGTGTCACAATTTTTAGGTAAACAAATAACGAAATTAATTAGCTTTTAAAACAAATAAGCATAAAGTTATATATCCAGGTCATAAACCTAAAGGACAGACTAATACAGTAACCAAATCGGAGCAAAATAATGATGCGGTCAACAAATGGGACGTTTCGCTGGACTTACTTCACAGACGTATTGATGAGACGGAGGATATCGATGAGAAAAATGGGTTAATATTTTATAATTAAGAAATTGTTGTTATAAACATATGGTTTAATTTTCTAATGTATTTTTTAGTTATTTGAAAAAATTGGAAAACCTATACAAAGGTCGCCAGTATGTGGACAACCATATGACTGAATACGTGAATAGTATTCAACACTTCATACCAAACATCGCAACCAATGCTATACTCCATACGAAACAAGAGCTCAATAATAGACACTGTTATCGACTACTGGTCGACACTTTTCAAAAAAATTGCTTTGACATAACCAAGGTAATAATAAAACATTAATGTGAATTGAAACTTTAAATTTTATTACAATTTATTTGTTACAGAACTCCTATACATTGAGGAAAATGAATATTTTTGTCAACATTTGCGAGCATTTAGGGCACGACTCCAATGGTGTGAATACAGCGGTCGACCATTTGCTGCAATACTGTCGACACAATATTCAACCAGAATTTGCCACAAATATTGTTTGAAAATATTATAACTTAAAATATTGATTAAAATTATTGACCAATTTAATTATTAATTCTACGTCCCAATATATGTATTAATATGAAATAACGAATATATCTTATAACAACCTAATTAAATATATAAATAATAAGCCAAGTTTATAATATATATATATATATTTCAATATAATTATTAAAAATATAAAATTAATTTACCTGTGCAAACAATGGAAATGTTAGCACACCAAAAGGCCCCACTTTAATACCCAGTTTAATAATACTTGAATTAATTAATCTCTCCAGATAAGTCATAAATTTTATTTTAAACCCCAACCGAAATGGCCAACCCTGTAGATGCCACTGTAGTTTAGCCAATAGATGGGCCATTAAATGCAATTTATATGACATGTATGCAAATATAAAGTTGATGCCAAACACAAACATTAAGCATACAACTATTGACCAGGTTGATACAATTTTCATTTCGATAGGTAGCACTTGAAACAATAACTGATGCCAACATATCAGGGTAATTGGTATGACGCACACCATTTCGGCAAATAGTATCTGGCTAATTATTATATTGTAGTCATTAAATGCCATGCATAATTTATTATGACTCGTAATAAACTTGCTAATTGTTTTGTATAATTAAATATTATTTTTAGTAACCCGATTGTGCCTGTTCAAAATAGTCATGATATTTTTATTCACATTATTTATGGCACTTAATAGCAAGTAACTTATTATTGGTAATGTGCATGATAAAAACAATGAGTCGATTCCCATTGAGTACAATGATAGCCAGGTAAATATTTGTGGAATAAATGAGATAATAAATTCATCCAGATGATAATATTTTATAGGGATTACAATTTATAAGTACAGCAGTCATTGTATCTAAAAATTATTTTAAGATTTATTTTAAAATATATATATATATATACAGTATATTTACATTTACTTACATATTATGGAAAATGTTATGATGGATATTTTGTAACATAACCTTGTTAACTTAGTAATTTTGTTCATGTTAGTGATCTGAGAAATTATGTATGAACCAGGTTCGTTTTTTGTTGAACCATTAATTACGTAAAATATTTCAAAAAATTAATAGACTTGTTATTAAGGTTTAAATGCAACGCCACTGATATAAGGGCACCAAATAGATAGGCAAATATTAGTATCAAGGTATTAAACTCTTGTATGCCACCTAAAACAATTGATATGTCTGATAGTAATAAACGTGTTTGATAGTTACATTTTAGGCATATGATGAATTTAAATATATTTACAAGGTAACATAAAAATATGAATTTTTCAATAAAAGTTGATTTATGTTTTAAATTTATTTTTTCGTAAATTTTATTTAAATAAAAGTCTAGAAAATAGTTTCTATTAACATCGCTAATAGTAGTAATATTTTCCATGAAACTAGTTTACAAATACTTGATTTAAAAATTAGTTTATTATACATGTATTATTGACGGTTTTTGAACTTTATAATGTTATAAATGTTTTATATAATAGTATTGAATAATGTACAATTTACGTACAATTTAGTGAATGTAAATGTACAATATTGATTTTTGTTTAAAAAATAGTTTGATTTCATAATATTTGTTAGTTCGCTAGCACTAAAACATTTGATATTAAAAAATAAATGAATATATTATTTCATATATACAGTATTTAACATGCAATGAATTAGTACGTTTACCTAAAATTAAATATACATTAAAAAATAGATTTAGAAATTTTATGACTTTAAGCTCATTCAAAATGTACTTTCTTATTTTGTTTAAGAGTTACAAATTAATTATATGATTTAATGTTTATTTTAAATACAGTTATTCATTGAAATTTATGTTTAGTATAACTTTATTAATTTGTTATATTTTGTGTACACTTTGTGCTATTTATATTTTCAAAAATTAATTATCATCCAGTATAAACAATTAATTATTATACATTAATTAGGAGAATTTTGTGTATAAAAATATATTTACGATTAATTAAAGTTATTACATTTTAGGAAACTTTTTTTTATTAAATAAACATGTATAAAAATCAATATTTAAATGTACCTAAATAAATGCTTTAATATTGCAAATAGTAAATTATTAATAACTTATTAATTTACGTACATAGAAAACATCAAATGACATGAACTATTTAATCAAATAATATTTATACAAATATTAATCAAATAAATGTATTTGCTCAATCATTAAATATAATGTATTAATCTAATAAATGTATTTGCTCAATCATTAAATATAATGTATTAATCTAATAAATGTATTTGCTCAATCATTAAATATAATGTATTAATCTAATAAATGTATTTGCTCAATCAGTTAATATAAAACTTAACTCAAAATAATAAACTATTAGAAAATATTTCATTTATGGTACTTTAATATTTTAATTTTCAAATTTTTACAAAATGAATTTCAGTATAAGTTATTCTAATATGTTTAATTTAATTTGCCGCGTGTTATGTGTACTAGGGTGCATTTATCAAACGTATAAAATAAGTGTATTATACTTTTCCTACCAAACTTCAACTAATGTAAATTATGTACCACAAATGATTGATCATAAAACGCATCCAGCAATAACATTTTGCATGTACACATTTGATGCAATTAAACTTCAATACCCTGATAACTATTCATCGTATTACATGTACAATAAATCAATAAATGAGCGATTTCAAGTATTTTCAACTTTAAAACATAAATTTAGTTGCTTGGTGACAACTAATAAATTTTACGTTATTGACTGTAAATCATTGTCAAAATATACCGAATCACTCAACGACATGATATATTGTCTGACAATATTGCCTGATGCTTTAAATGAAAAATTTTTCAGAACCGAGTTATCATTGTCGCTAACCGGGGTACAAATTATGTTTTACAAAAGTATGCCTATAAAAAACAACGTACTACTTCACATTCGTGATTCACCCACACGCATTTACGATCCATTTCCACGTGGACAAATTTATTTTAAATACACGAATACCACTAAGGTCACTATGAAATATCGGAAAACTATACTAAAATATAAACTGAGTCATTTTAGAAATCGATGTTTTACGAAGCATAAAACTTATGATGAATGTTATTACGGTTGCATTCAACGTACCTACTTAAATAAACATATACCTTTATTACGACAATATTTAGTGTTCAACTACAACCTTAGTTATAATTATCATTTTGGTTACAATTATAGCAAACCTATATTTAATGACTGCAAACATAAATGCGATGATAAAATAGAGTGCATTAAAAACTATCACTCAATAGACTATACCATTGAGAATACCGGAAGTTATAATAGATTTGAAATGTATGTCAAGTTTCCGACCGAACCAACCGTTATATACGAGATATCATTGAAAATGTCTTTCGAGGAGTTTTGCATATTTATAGCCAGTGTATTGAGTCTATGGTTTGGTTTTAATGTATTGTTTTTCACACAGTTTTGCCAGCAAATGATTGTGAAGTTAAAAGTATCTAATGTAAATATCACTACAAATACAAACACAGTAAATAATTCATTAAACCCGCATTATAATTTATTTATCAATGTTAGGAAACAAAATGCTAAAGCTAGTAGTAGTGTAAATGGTGAATTACCTAATCAAATTATTAACAATTCAGATACATTTATTTAATATTTAAATAATGACTTGTACTGCGTTTACTACAGTATTATACGATTTCAATATAAATATTAATATTTTAAAAATATGTTAGTTTAGTGCTTTAGGTTAATATTACTTAAAGAAATTTATAACTGTATGAAATATTTATACAATAATTAATATAATTTTTAAAATATGCTTTCCCTTAAATTTTTAAAATTAAATATTTTAATATTTAACATAAACAACCTTAATTATAATCTATTTATTAATGTAAGACAATAATATTCTAGATATCATACAAGTGTTAATTTATCAACGCAAAATCAAATAATAGATCACATAGATCCTATCCTATTAGTTAACATATAAAATTTAAATCACTTGATTATTTATCAAAATAATTATTTGTACAATATAACTTATTAAAAAGAATGACACTATGCTAAATCAATATAGTTTTTATATAAACAGATTAGATAAACAATAAAAGCAAATAAAAAATTAATTTGGTGTTTGTCTGATGATTTAATTATCTTATAATACTTTAATAAACTATAAATTACAAATAAGTAAATTAAAATACTATTCATTTGTAGTACATTATACTAAATATAGTATACATACTATTTACAGTAAATCAATAACTAATAATGGTAGTTTATTTGTTTATTGACTTTCATGTTGTATAAAATATAATTAAATTTTGCTATTTCAAGTAATACCATAATAATTTAATGTAATATGTATTCGTATTAATAATAAATTAAACCGTACATCTATTACTTGTTTTCAATTCATATACTCAATATTACAATAGTACAAAAATTTAATATTTTATATTTTACTAAATAACTATGGTTTTAAAAATCACATTTAAAAGTGTATTTAATATTATTTGCTACATTATATGTTTGATGGGATGTATGTATCAAACGTATAAAATAAGTTTATTATACTTTTCGTACGAAACCACTACTAATGTTAAATACATTTCTCAAGCAATTGATCATACAAACCACNATTGATCATACAAACCACCCTGCTATCACATTTTGTTTATACACATCTGATGTAAAAAAGATCCTGTATCCATTGAATTATTCGCAACACTATACTTACAACATGTCGATAAATGACCAATTTCAATTATACGGCAAATTAAAGAATCAATATAGTTGTCATATTGGCACAAATAAATTTTATGTTATTGACTGTAATGACCTAGCTAAATATCTGGATTCAAACAATGGTAATAAATATTGTGTTACACTATTGTCAGGTGATTTAAATAAAAGATTTTTTGATGACGATTCAACAATGTCATTAACCGGTGTTGGAATGACCTTTTACAAAT